AGACAAGTGAGGTAAGTCACAATATAACAGGTTTTTATGAACAAGGCAACAATTTACTTTTGGAGTGAAAAGAAGTGAAGCATAAATATCAGTTTTTTGTTATATCAATGTTCTTGTGCATAGAGCAGAAAAAGTTCATATTATTTGATATTTTTCTTTGTTAATAATTTTTCTTTGTTTGTTTCTTTGTTAATTTTGCTTCCTTGTTTCTTTTGTTAATAAATTCTTTGTTCGGTTTACTTTTAATTAAGTTAAATATTATAAACATATTTGAATATTTATGCAATATTTAAACCTAAATAAAATTTCAAAATTTTATTTTTAGTTGCATTTTTGTCCAATAAAGTACAAATAAAGTCATTTTGACAATTACAGTATCACTTCCTTCAATATAATGATTCTTTCGGAAGTTTCCAGTCTGAAAAAATAATTATTTTTTCTTCTCACTCCTAAATTTTAGTGCAAGTAACTTTTCAGAAATGAAAATCGCGATTTGTTACTAAATCAATGAACTATAAAAATGATTATACTATATTAACGTTGAATATAATTTCTCACATTCTGTGATCGGCAAGCAGATTTGTAGAGATCAAAGGTACCTTATATATGCAAAAATACTGAAGTTTGATTATTAACAACCAAAAACACGAAACTTCCTGGCAGTATCATATGCAACGAATTCAATAATACTTCGAGACGCGCTTAATATAATTCATTTAACGTTAAGTTCAATCTTTATATTTCAGAAGTGCACTTGAATTATTCTAATTAAGTTATATATAACCATAATAAATACTCAAAAAGCGCAATTTATTTATTTATTTTAAATATATTTTTGCTTTTCAAATAAAGTAATTAAAACTCAGACCCGCGATGTGGAGGGGAAATGTGATTTTAAATTGAACTGCGAGATGATATACTGAATAGGGAATAACCTCACTTGAAACAACCACGAAATACAACGAATATAATTTAACCTGCTTAGATCTTCACCTGCCAGTTTGGCGCCAGACGGCTACCATTTGACATCAGCGGCGAAGGGGAAAATACGAGTCTTCACCGGTGAAAGAGATCTAAAACTAATGTAACAAGCAAAGTGTGTAAAAAACTGGTCTCAAAAGTGGATTTTTATCTTGGCCCCAAACTAACAAGGAATTAAGTTTGTGCTTTTTGCTTTTACGATTTTACTGCGCAAAATTTCGGTAGTACCTGATATAATGGTGTGTTTTACAATGTTTCCAATTCGTTCTTCTGATAAGCAGTTCTTAATGCAAATCATTATTACTGCTCCTAATAAGTAATTCCCCCTGTTTAAGGAAACCGTATTAAAAACGATAACTGGTTTCACAGTAGAATGAAATACACATTTGGAATGTACTATATTAATTTTCCTGCACTTTTTATTAATTTCCACTTGGTATAGGCTCACCAGTTTACGTTCATCATATACCAAAGTTGCTTTAATGATAAATTAAATTATTTTATAAAATACATATTTGAATATGAATAAAAAGTTTTGTTGCATAGAAACGATACCTTAGCTGTTGTCTAATGCATTATTAGTCTAACAAACTGTCCTTAAATTTAGTCTCGCTTTACGATGCAAAAATGTTGAAGTTGTATAACAGTTTATTTACATATATAGTCTTGAGAGTATGCTTGTTCTAAATAATCTACATTCTTCCTCCTCTTGTTTCCGATTTATAAGCTGAAGCACATAATTCATTGCAACTTTTAAACGGAAAGTTGCAATGGAGCAAAAAAATTGTTTATCTTGAAGCAAGTATAATGTAAAAAGTAAAATGAAACTTTGTTATTTAGTCCTTTCTATATTTTTTTTTCTTATGTTATTAGATTATTTTCATTTCTTTTCTTCATAGTTCCCTCCCCCATAAAATCATTACTGCATCCGGATAAATTAATTCCATTTTAAAATTAAAGGAGTGCATTATATAATTAAAGCAAAGTACATTAACGCGTTTGCCTTATCTCATGCAAACTTTATTATCAGCAGATGACTTCTAGTTTATTAAAATTTCAGATATTTGGATTTACGGCCGGATCTTAGATATAATTAATTCTTAACCCTCAAATTTTTCACTCGTCAAATTTTGGTAGAAATCCAAAGCTGGAGTAAGATATGAATTTTGACACGCCATGCGTGAGAAGAAATTCTGTCACTGATTTTTTGCAGTTGAGAACAAAAGAATACTTTTGTGGGTAAGTAATGACGTAAATAATAATTTTCCATAACTTTTTTATATAAATTAAATTTTTCTAATACAGAATATAGATAAGGTATAGATAAAGATAAATATAGATAAAGATAGATTTGATAATACATCAAAATAGATAAGGGGTAAATGTTTTAAATTTTTAAATATTAGTTAATTTATTTCTAAAAATTCCTTTCTTATCCGAAGTCAGCTAGAATTCTAGGGAAAAAAAGGAATGTCTGGTAATATATTTCAACAGAAGCTTTGGTTTCAGCATAAATATTGAAATCTAGTTTCCTTTGTTAAAACAAAACAAGTTTTAACAAAATAACTTTAACAAAATAAGTTTAATAATGTAATGCAAATACACATTAATTTAAATTTAATACTTGAAGTATTGGGTGATAGGTCGAATTTCATTATTTGAAGACTGTATTTTAGCTTTTTATATTCAAAGGCCAACTCTTTACAGTCCAGAGGAATATCTCCTCGCCACTTTTTTAAAGTTACTATTTCAAAGAGTTGGATTGTAATCCAATGTACTCTTTTTTAAGCTGTTTTTGTAATAGAAAATAATAATAATAATAATAATATTTTTGCGTTAGCACGTCTGCCTGAAATTTTTAGATCCAAACATTAAACTCTTATATTCGTCGAACTTGAAGGTCTCTGGTTTAAATGTTTTCAAACAGGTTCTCAATTAAATTAAAGCAATTAAATTACTCCTTTTATATAAGCATAGATAAAATATTGAACACAATCAGCGTGCGACTACTGTAAGCAGTCTACTTGCATTTATTATGTACGTTACTTAATATGGAACAATGTTTATTATAAAATTTATGTTAATTATTTCTTGATTATATATATATACATATATATATATGAAAGTTTGTAATTTTTATACAACAGATAAATTTTGAACATTCTTTGTTATGACCGTGCCGTTCACAAGGTACTTTCCTTTTCAATACGACAGTCGCTCACTTTATAAAGAAATAAACTATGACGTTACGTTATGCTATACGATGCTATTATGTTTAAATGCATCCAATTAAGTTGAATATTAATAATAATATTAGATATCCTCTATATAAAAATAATCATAATCTTCTTTGCCTTAGTTGTTTAAATAAACAATTAGAGCAATTAAAGATTGCTTTGAGGTTTACCAGTGGCTGACTGAGTAAGACTGCTGAAGGCTGGTATGCACAACGCACATGAATTTTTGTATTCCAGCAAATGCAATTTCAATTTGGACATGAAAAATTCAATCTCGATATAGTACGCTTATTATTATTATTATTTGAAAGCAGAAGTGTATAAAAACGGCCATTTCTTTTTTAAAAAAATTTCTTAATAATTAATTATCGAGTAGAAGTTCCACACACAGAGTGTCATTTTGTGTGCTAGTCGGCCAACAAAGGCCAGTGTCAAAAAACGCATGACATTCGTCTTTTAAAGTTAGTACAATTATCTCTAAAACATGTTACTTTTCTTCAATACGAAATTTCCATAGCTTAAATAAATGCTGCAAAATGCCTCGCATTTATATGAATAAAAATGCTTTCGCTTTATTTCCCTAAAAAATTTTTGTGTTGATAGAATAATTTAATGAACTTTTTATTACAAAATATAACATTTTATATGTGTGCTTAATTTCTAAATTACTTTTAATCGACTCAGTAATTAACCGTAAAAGTTTCTCTTAAAGCGTTTCCCCCCTTCTTTAAAACACTTTTACTTGGCAATCAGTGCAAAATTTTAAACTTTTTTGAGCCGCATTTAAATCTAAGTTATAAAGTCTAGATATACCATTTATTTTTTTTAATTAACACGAATTGTTTAGTTAATATCTTTTCCAAATTCCACTTTTCCATTATTACTTACATTTACACTCAAATAAAATCACTTGTGGGAAGATATTTTATGTTTCACATGTGTTTAAAAAATAAGTGATGAAAATAGATGTGAGGAAAAGCATTAAGTATATAAGGTAAATGATTATAAGCGTATTAATTAATTAGAAATATAAGAGTGTTTAAAAGTGTTTCTTACAAAAATTAGCAAATTACAAAAGCACAAACTCTACGATTCTGTGAAAGTTTAAGAGCCAGCTACGAAAGATTTAAGAAAACTAAATTTTTTTTCATTCTAGATTTTCTTCAAAATTTTTTCAGATACACTAAATGCAAGATAATTACGGATTTTATGAGAAATCGGTTAAAGCGCTTTGTAAAAATCTGTTGAATGCTTTAAAAACAAAGAGAAAATTATTTTCTATATGCTCTGGTGACGAAAGATTTGAGTTATGCATATTGAAGTCTGTCAGTGTTCGAAATAACTTCGATAAGAATCATTAATTTCTTATAAGGCTGTTTACATTATGAGCCCAATAATAAAGTGACTGCTTAAAAAAAATCTATGTTTATAATTTAATTTACAGTTTCTAATGTTTTAAATATATCAATTAATAAACATAATCATGCCCAAGAATGTTACTAAAAGAACAGGTTTTCACAAAGGAATGCAAAGTTATTTATAGAATTTGCTCCGAACAAGAATTTCGCTGGGACGTACGTACAAGGTAATCACTTTTAAATTCAGCGGGAAGAGGCATTTCCTTATTGGATGTTTCCCGGGTCTTACGCAGGGCAAATAACAGGTTCTGATTCGCCAAGAACTATGAATTGGCGACCATTGGCCGCTTTTCCAGCTGCTTCGCAACTATGTTCTCTCTCAAGCTTATAACAAAGCACGAAAACCGACGCCACGCAGACGAGTTCCAGGTGCCGCCCAGGGGGTTTTAGTTCAAGGTTTCTGGATCCAACCTCAGACTATCTCATGTGCTGCATGCTAGACGCGAGCAACTGGTCTCACGGCTTTATTATTTCGGACTTACATTCGGATGCTTGCGGACGGAGCTTACACTCCTGCGGTCACCTCCAGCCGCTCTTCCCATGGGTGAGTAAGTTTTAGCGCTCTAGAGTTACACTTTGAATTTGATAACATATGAATTAAAGGAATTTTGCATTTTTTAAATTAGCAAAATGTTTCAGCCATAGCTAAAGTAATAAGAGTAACGAGTTTTTCGTAGGAAAAAAAAGAAAAATGTCATCTACGCCAGAAATATAGCATGTCCGATTGTCATGAATTAATTTTGAGACGCATTCCGTGTCAGGTTTCAATTCCAAAGTGGCTGAATAATCAGATCACCTGCTAAATAAATAATTGTGTAAATGTAAGAAATATTTCCTGCAACATGTCTTCGTTACTTGATTTAATCTACCTATTAAAGTTTCAAATGTTTACAATCGAAATATATTTTAAGAGCTCATGCTTGTAAGCTAAGTAACATGCTTGATAGCTGCTAAACATGTTAAAATGTAAAACTACTACGAATTAGAAATTCTCCTTCCCCTCGTTATATCACTAACGTAAATAAAGGGTGCGTGATCAGAAGCTGAAACTCAATTTTGGGAAGTGCAGTCAAATGTGATTAGTTTAGCAAATACAATGTATATAAGAGAGGAATAGTATTACTCATTAATATGAATTTAAGCTTAAAAATTTTTGTGATGGATTAATATTTCTTTAAGCGGCTTTTAGTTTTCTAGAATTTAAAATGTAATTTATATATATGCAATGATCTTTTCGAGTAAAATTAATGTTTAGTTTCCATATAGTATTTAGCTGCTCTTCTGAAAACTTGTTCAATTCTAATGACGTAGTTTACCGATAAATTTGTCTAGTAATATGCATTTGTGTTACATTGCTAATTCCAAATAGTAATGTGATATTCGAGAACTAGGTTAGTTTACAAGTAAAGCTCGATGCTAAAAAAAGTTTTAAGAATATGTTAAACAAATTACAAACTCATCAGTTTTAGGATTTAGGAAATGCGCAGTTTTTTTTTTTGTTTGTTTGTTTGCATTCTATAATATGCATTTGTGTTGCATCGTTTGTATTCTATAATATGCATCTGTGTTACATTGTTAATTCCAAATAGTAATGTGGTATTAGAGAACTAGGTTATCTTACTAGTAAAGCTCGATGCAAAAAAAAAAAAAAAAAAAAAAAAAAAAAGTTTCAGAAAAAGTTAAACATATTATAAAATCATCGGTTTTAGGTTATAGCAAATGCGCAGCAGTTTTTTTTTTTTTTTTTTTTTTTTATTTTAAATAGTAAAATTTTGTGTACAGCTTTAAGGCTAGAAATGTTTCGAACTCTTCCACTTCGCTTAAAATGTTAAACATTTATGCTATTTGTTTTAGAAACAAAACAAAAAAAAAAAAAAAAAGCTTTTAAAATACTGAAATTATATTCCAATTTTTTAACAGCTGCTATTATATTCGTTTGTTCAGTTTTTAAAGATGGCAGCTGACATCTAAATTCATTATTTTTGTAATAACAAGTATCGATTAAATTGGGTTTTGAGAGGGAGAAGTTTCTTTTATATGATTAGTCATCTGCTTGACGAATACCAGTTTATTTTTTATTTTTAAAGAAAAGGAAGGAGAAAGATTTTGAAAATCAGTTAAACTAGAAGTAAACATTTTGTAAAATTTATCAGAGTAATTAGGATGAGGCGAATGAATAGCTTTTATGAAGTAATTAGCGTTGAGTTCCTGCATAACTGATATGCCATAACAAAATTGAAACACGTTTCTCTAAAACCTACTCACACCAAATGCGAAACTCAAAAGCATTAAAAAACACTAGCCAGTAGCTGTTTCTCTATCAAGCTGCTGTCGTGAGAACACCCTGCGCATTATCTGACTCAAAACCATTACGTGCCTGACTGTCATGATGCCTCCAATATACTCCGGTTTTTGTTATCAAATTACGTAAAAGATGTGGTTTACTTGGACACAGGTGTGTTCTAACGCGACGAGACCAACTTGCGCGGAAGGTAGTGGTTGTTCCCTGCTCGCGGGTGTTCGATTCTATTAGGTCAGTGAAACCGCATGACGTGGGAATTCCCTGCTTCCCGCGAGAATTTTTTTTTTAAATGCATTCAAACAGTATTCGCCTTGCAAGCTCTGTTTAAAAAATTACCGCAGATTTGTCAATTTCAGTTCCGTTTTGCCCTGAATATCTATCCTAAAATGTCTTTTCCAACTCACATAGATTAAATTGTTGAAACTGAAAACTTTAAAGCTAAAAATTTTCTCACGCAACTTTTGCTTGCTGTTCTTTTTTAAACAGTTATTACCATTTTTTGGCATTTTAAAATTTTAATTTAGTTTTACAATTAATAAATAATAGACAGCCGTGTTTAAATGGTTGCTAATATTTTGGAATAAGCAATGCAGAATTTAACACTTATAAAAGTCTGGCAGAACTACGTATCTAACTATAAGAAATTACTGCGTGGTCAATCTAAAGCACCTGTAAATGTGCTTTCATTGCCATACGGCAGAGCGTCTTCAGAAAACGATTTTACGGTGTTTGTCACAGACTAGGCGAAGTTTCTTGAATATACCCCCTTTTGAAGTAAAAACATTAACTTCCTGTGTCCGGCTGACTGATAGGACACTTCCCAATCTTCACGTGCTTGATATGATAACAGTCGTGCCTCCAATGCTGTAATAGTCCATTTTAAAGTTTTTCCTTTTTACTACTTATTATTGTTCCATTCAAAATTTTTCACCTTCGGCAATTACTTCGCTAACCTTATTCAGAGCAGAGGAGAAAATTTTCTTTTCAATCATAAACACGTTATGGTAAATTAGAATGTGCTGTAGTTTGTCTTAGGATTGGATAGGTTTTTCAGTTAAAATTTTTAATGTATTTATTTCTCTTTACACTTTAAGATATCATTTAGTGGAAGTTGAAGAAAAAGAATTGAAAATGAAGACATTAGCGAGGGTCTTAATATGTTGATTTGCGGGACTACAGTCGTTTCAGTGCAAATCCTTTATTACAGCGGCCTAGATAAAGAAACAAGTTTTTGCTGTTCTTGTAACCCATTCTTTTCTAAAGGTACGTAACACTTTTCTTTAATCGCAGCCCTACTTTCTCAAACGGATTTAATTGTGCTCACCATTTGCACAAAATAACGGTAAGTGAAAGAGATCGCATTTGGGAAAATTTCTCAATCAATCTCAGATTGCAGGTCGCGCTTTGGTGAAGTTCCTCGTTCACTTTAAAACAGCTACTCGTGCTAATGTTTTTAATTCAGTTCCGAACGATAGATAAAAACTAATTCATATTTGCGTTAAACAGTCAATGGTAGACAAAACAACACTTATTTTACTAAAGAATAAATTTAACTTGACTTTAATAACGTAATTCTTTTTTTCCTCGTGCGTTTTTTCATTCTATACGATAAACTTGAACTCTCGGAGAAGGCGACCTTTCTTCCTAAACGAATTAAGGAACATAGCCTATATTAAACTAATTTTTATGATCTTTTCGTAACATGACAATGTATGCAAGTTAAAATGCGTTGAATATGATGTAACATAATTGATGTCTTTTTATGCTATCCAGGGCATGTTAAAAACTGGACTCATTTTCTTCAAAATTGTTTTAACAATTATTGCATGCAAGTTCTGAAAAAGGCGCGTTTTATAATACAGGTGCTGAAAAGGTAGTACAGTCTAAATTTGCTCTGGCCAGGTCGGGATGATTTGCAGTATTGTTAGCGTTTACTAAATATTGCACTCGTCCCGGCCTATCTTGAGTGATCCTTGCGGCTAAAAGAACGAGCCTGTCGTTGCCAAGGACCGTGAATGTGACGCTCATTGCCTGTAGCGTGAGCCAGGTGAGTATGTTTATGGTATTTGTTACTGTCATATACATGTACAAATGTAACTTATTCTTAAATTTCCTATGAGTTTGTTATCAAACTCCCAACATTTGCGAATTTTAGATACGCAGTAACTTTATTTAATCGAATTTTATACTGTGCGTTTGTTTTCATAAAACAGTGTAGTTATTAAAGGAAGCAATTAAAATATATTTTTCGGCTTCAATTTAGAACTATACGGGTAGCTGTTTCCTAGAAATTTGACCGTATTCGTATAGTTATCCATCACATAAATATATATAAAAAGATGAACTTATTTATGATAATCAAGCAGTTATCTTTGTTTTAATTTTGTGATATTTTCGTGGGTAGATATACAGGTATATTCAGTATGTAGAGGAAATTTTTTGAAAAAGGCTTATTTTTTCCAAAAGTCGTTAGAGTCGCTGAACACTGGTAGTTCAAATCCCGGCGCGGTGGTTCCCATGTGTAGCATGTATACGAGTCCCTTAGGCAGACAGCCCTCGAGTACGTTATCATAATTAAATAAACCAAAGTAAATGGCTTCTGTTTGATTTCAGTGTTATTAAATTTGAAATAATAAAATTGAGATGTTATTAATGTAAAGTATTTTGAGGGAATGATTAATTATAACTTTGTATGTGTTTCTCCAAGCAAGCCGAAGTATTGTGTAATACCTCTGATCTACTAGATTAGATTTGACCAAAAAGGTCTTTAACTATTTGCTTTTATCTTTGTTGCAGAATTTTGAAGGGATTGACATCTCATGATGGGATGATAAAAGTTACTAAATTAAGAAGGAAATGCATTGAAATAACAGGTGGTTTGAATTCAGAATTTTTTAAAGTTTTGAGATAAATATACTAGTTACGTTTTAAAATAAATTTAGAGGCACACAAGGGCTATTAATTCGAATTCTTAGTAAACTTTATTTTTAACTAAAATTTTCGGAATTTATAAATCATATTTTCGTCCAAAACACAATTTACTATTATTGAGTGATGGAGGAAACGAAAAGGAATGGACGTTTCTCAGATCGCACAAATTACCTGAAGACTGTAAAAGTATGAAAGTTTTGATCTGCTTGTTCATGTATTTATTTATTAAGCCTTCTTAAACGGATGCCTTTGCAAAGAAGAGATTAATTTTATAAGATAGAGCAACGTTAAAAACGTACCTCCTAGATTTA